CTCTATTAATTCTCGTTATTGTACGTAGGGTAATTTGACATTCCCTTAAGTGTAATACTGAATTTTCAGTTAATAAAACCGCCTGAAAATGAAATTATTATAGACTCGTAAAACTGTAATATTTGAAACTCCTGGCCTTTTGCATTTTTGTTGCAAATATGTTGAAGTCGAAAAACTTTTTTTGTCTGAGCCATTTGTCTTTATTTGATTTTGAGGATGGTCCAAAATTGTTAGCGTACTTGACTGTTTTCGATTTCGGTTAAGAATTAAATCCGTGTTCATGCATTTTGGCATATCCTTTTGGGTGTCATACAGAACCGCTTTTCATTGTAGTATATTTGTAGGACAAAACTCGTAATCTTGTTGTTTAGTAGGATTAAATTAAATTTACTGCTCAGTATACAAAATGTTAGGTAAACTTCACAACTTTAAAGCGTTATAAAAGTTTTAATGGAAACTTCATATTTATAATTATTTTAAAGGGAAGAATTGGGTTTATTTTATTTCTATGTTTTCAAATGTTTGACCTATTACACCTTTGTTTATGTCTACTTTTGATTCCCTGGAATTTTTTAGTACGATAGGCATTGACTTAATTTCATTCCTACAATAAGTGCTTTTTGCATTAATGCCTTTTTGTTCTAAAGACTTATCAATTCTAAACGATGTTCCTACTTTGAAAACCATGCCTGCTGGAGAAATTGAAATTACGAGGGATGATTTTGGTGCAATAGTTATATTTTTTATCAAGAAGTACATTTTGATAAAAGCTTAGATATGGATAACTTTTGCTTCTTATGACACTGATAGGAACTGTTATATCTGGGTATTGTTTTAATTCTAAGTTTAAATTTAGAAAATTTATTGATTTAATGTTGTGAGAAATGAAATCAATTCCTAATATATTTAGATCGCATCCATCCTTGGCTGAAATGCATGCTTCAATTTTACCGGATTATTAGTGTTTGTCCCAAAAGTTGAGTCAAAATTAGTATAACCTATAAGTTTAAGTTTTTCTCCATTAACAGCAACTGTATTTGATCTACATTTATTCAGCTGTAGAGGCTGTATTTTACAATATTGTTCATAACTGTCAAAATTAATCAGCGAACATGTTGCTCCAGTGTCTAGTAGAAATTGGGTTTCCAAACCGTAATTTTTATTTTTGTCTCCGACGGGATGTTGGTATAAGTTAATATATAATTGTATTTTTGGTTCAGACGGAGACTGATCTAGTTTAAATTCACAAGTTCACACTCATTATCGGTATAGTCTCCTGGAATGTCATCATCACTAAAGTTGTGGATCTGGTAAGGTGAATGATAATCGTTATTTTCGTTGAAGTGTTTCTTACTGTTCGACCTGTCACGCGATTGAGAACTTTCATTGAAGTTTGACAAGTGCCTGAACTCTTGCTGAGAGTTTATGTCATTGAAATTGTTGTCTACTCTTGACCTACTCTTGCTATAGTTATGGTGACTTCTGTTTGAATTCTCTCTTAATTGAAGCGAGTTATAATTTTGCTCCTGTTGATCGTTATATTTAAAGCAATGGCTTATCGTGTGGCCTGACATGCAACACCAGTTGAAAACATTGGGTTGTTTTGTTTGTTTGTATGCTCATGTGGATTATAGGCTGCGTTTATCTTATGATCCTTCATTAGTCCTGTTAACTCTTTAAGTTGATTCTTTATTCCCTCTATTTCCAATTTATTTTCTATGCTACTGGATGCTGTTCCGATAAATTCACTACTTATTGCAAAACTTAAGTCTTTTGTAGCAATATGATTTTTTAATTGTTGCCATGTTGCGGGTGGATTCTCAATTAGGAATTGATGAGCTTTTTGTTTCAAGCCTGGCGGGCTTAAGCCGCGTACAAAGAATTCCATTTTCTTTGCTGTTCTTTGATCATCATTAAAAGTTGGATTAGGCCATCCACGGTCTTTTGCGGTGCTTAATTTATGTATGTAGCTTTTAATGAATTCATCAGGTTGTCTTTTTATGTTTTCTGCTTCTATTCGTCTCCTATACTTATCTTTATCATCAGTGAATCTATCTATATCATTCCAAGGTAAGTTTGCTGCTAATCCCTGATACCATTGAGCGGCTGGACCTCTTAATATTGAACCAAATAAGGCTCTTTGTCTGTCATCATATGCGTCTTGTTCGTCACCTGCATCTCCTGGTCTAGTGCCTAAGGAAAATGCTATCTTTTTCTCTACTATATCAAGAAAATCTCTTGCATCTTCATTCGGATCTAAGCCGGTAAACTTTTCGAGAGCTAAATCTGGGTATGCTACTACGTTTGCCATCTTTGTTTAATTCATTCAATGTTTTGTTAACAATATATAAAGGGTTTGGATGTGTTGTGTACTGATCAATTTTTTCGGACTGAAATAATTGTATTTAAGTTACAATGAAGTTTGCTGAATTCAATGAATACGAATTTTTGTTAGATAGATCAATAGTGCTATGGGGCTGATTAAGCTTTTTTAAGATAGAAGTTATCTCTGGGGTATTGCTGCTGGAGAGAATGGTTAATTCGTGAATATTTTTGTGTGGGTGTTTGGACAAAATTGTGATTTGATCTTTTTGGATATTGGTGATATACCAAATAATTTTTGTGGATTTATTTTTCAATTTTAGTTTTAAATTAAATGCTGTTGTATTTACTTGATAAAAGTTGGTCATAGCATTTTACATCCTTTTAGGGACATAAATATTTATCTAGGGAATGATAAACAATATAAAAAATATTTAAATTTTTCTTATGAACTTGTTATGATTTTTAATTTTTGTTTAAGAAAATTTTGTGTTTTCAATAAAAAATGATCAAAATGCAAGTAGTTTTGTGCTTTGGTATATTATGATATCAAAAACAATCGGGAGTGAAGCAATTAATCGCTCTTCCGGTATACAAATTATGTTATTTGGTATTTTTATTTGCTGAAGAATTGTGTCAATTTCTGGAGTATTTCGTCGAAAGAAGACGTATAATTCGTGTTTATCTTCTTTAGGCTGTTTTGTTAGTATACTAATATGATTTTTTTCAGTGTTAGTGATATACCATATGATGTTAGAGACTTTATTTCCTAATTTGAGCTTTAAATTTATTGTACTGACGTCAATTTTAAAATGTGTTGACATTAATTTCACGATGTTTGTTTTCTTTTTCTTAAGCCAAGTTGTACTATTTGATTAGTATGTCTTAGAGTAATGAAAACCTCTTAGGAATTATTGAATATTAACAAAGGTTATTAATAATAAGATAAGGAAATAAAAAAATTTCTTTGGAAAAAAAAAATTTCTAAATTTTTTTCTAAGTTTTTCAAGTATTGTATTCGCTGAAACTTTAACTGAAACCTGAAACTTTGTTCAAGTGAAGTTTTGTTGATGCTATGGTATTGTTAACAATATAACTATATGCCTTTATTGGGTATTATTGGTTCAAAACTTAATTTTTTGGTTAAAAATTTTTAGAAAATTTTTTGACTGAAACGATAATATGAAACCTGAAACTATGGTAGCTGAAGTTGAATATTTTTAATCTTAAAATTTTCTATACGCTGTATTATATCTGGTTTTTGCTTTAACTTGCAAAAAGTTTCGAGAAAACCGAATCTTTTGATATCTTAAGCTTAGTTTTTGAAAACTCAAACCTAAAACTCTTAAACTCTCTCAAACTCGGTGCATGAAAATAAAAAGTTGGTTTTTGATAGCTGGTTTAGTGTAAATTAGAATTTTGAACAGGTTTGTAACTTCAAAATCAAAAATTTGTTTGCGGAAACCTAAGTTTTTGGGGCTGAAACTATGATTTCTAGAACTGAAACTATGGTTTGACCACTTGGTTTTAGAGTTTTGAGATTGAAAATTTAGGTTGGTCTTTCTGATATATTTCTATTCCAGCAATAAAATTGCTAAAAAGATGAAAATTTTAGCCTAAAACGACGATTTTAGTTTTCTGAAACTATAAGTTTGAGGGCTCAAACTAACACCTTCTAGAAGTTTTTTGAGTTTAAAAATTTGTTAGTGCATTAAGGATTCCTATTATCTTTCAATATTTCACAAAAATTTCACTTGGGAAGCAAGATTTTTGGTTCTGAAACCAAAAACACCAATTCTGAAACGTACGTTTCAGCCTTAGGAACCAAAATTTAAAATTGGTTTGGTGGGTTTTAACACCGTTAGTTTTCTTTAGAAAGTCAAAATTCGGCGTTCGGAGCTCAATTTTGAGACCAAAAACTCAATTTTTGTGTTCTGAAACCTGAAACTAACAAAAACGTACCATTTAAGACCAGGTTTTTGACTTATGGTATCGAAATTTGGGTTTGACTAGTTCAATTTTTGCTGTTTTACCCGAATCCGTTTACAGAAACTTGAAATTTTGACCGGAAACTATACTTATTTTAACTGAAACGTTTGGACCTATAACTGAAACCTAGACTGAAACCAAAAATTTTGGCTCGTAAAAATCAATTTTTTAGTGCTTATGCTATCATATGAAACCTATTTTATCAATATAAAGTGGATGTGTCAGTGTTTTAAACTTAGTTTTTGTTGTGAAACCTGATATTTTTGTGCTGAAACTAAAACTTGGTGTTTGGTGTTATGTGGTTAACGTTTAAGATTGGTTTTAGTGCGTAATCTTATTGTTAATTAGGTGTATATTTAAACTGTGTCAAAAAAAACTAATGATTTATCAATAAACACTCAAATCCGTTCCTTCCTTTTTGGTTTTTGTTATTTTCTTCCTTAGTTTCAGTAATTGGTAGCTTTACTGATGGATGATTTAGGTTTAAGTTACGTTAAGGTGGTTAGAATTAAAATGAGTTTAAGAAAATTTGAGGATAAGCCTCGAGAATTGATGAAGGATTAGGATAAATAGCAACAACCGTGGATGGTTTGAGATAATGTGATGAAGAATTCAATTTATCATACAATTTAGGGTACTCTTAGATCGCACATATGACCACTTAACCCCCTCGAAAAAATAAATGAAGATATTTAATAAGTTTTTGAGCACTTTAATTTAAGACAGAATTTCGTTAATTTTAGTGATGATAACTTTAAACTGAAGTTTTGGCATGTAATTAGTGGATTACTGGACAAAACGGGTATATCTTACTAGCGGACTTAGGCAGAGAACGGAACGATTCTTTCAGAAATTTTATATATTATTATAATAGTAGATAATAGTTAAGTTCATGAGCTAATGTCAGTTAGAAAGCCGTCTAATAGACCTCGAGATGGAGGGATATCGTGGGCGACTGCTAGCGCAGGGTATGCTTTCGCAAGAACCCTACTAGGAATATCTGTCAAGTAGAAGACAATGAAATTGTGTTTCTATCGAAAGATACCCATTGTCTCTGGCTTTTTGAGGTTGGAAACTAATCTGACAAATACTCACAGATCCTAATATTAATTTTAATTAATTTTTTTGAATTTTAAAAGCTGTTTCGAGTTTGTTGGAAAAAGAATTTCTTAAGGAGTAGTTCTCTGCTGCGGTCGCACCAGTTTTACTAAGCGCTCATTGCTGGTTGAATGCTTAGTAATTTTATCCTAAATTATAAGTCTCACCTTGATCGTCAAATTGTCTTGACAAAAAGTAGAGTAGAAACAATAGTTAGAAAAGGTATGAATTAATTAGTTGGTTAGATACAAAGCACTGGGTTATTAGATTATATAAACGAATCGAACAGCTTAAAGAAATATACCTATGAGGGGAGGTTGAGCTAATCTTATTTTGTTCATCAATATTTTATCTTCTTACTAAGGTCGATGGCTGATTAGTATGTATGGTTGCCCTTGATTTTGTCCAAGTCAGCACTTCTGGTTGGGTAGTCTGAATCGTCTTGCCGTAGTCCTTTGGGTATTTGTAGTCCAGACTTCCTCAGGTGTGGTTATCTCGAGTATCTCGATTTATAATTTTATCGAACTTAAAATGAGAATTTATTCTCTTTTTATAAGTGAAAAGGGCTAGATTAATTTTATTGTTAGGGCAGAAAAGAAAAATTATTTATTTTTAAAAGATCTGACTGAAGAGAACTGACTTGCTGCTTACTGAGCAAAATGAAACACTGAAGATTTCAGGCCAGTCCTTTTGCTCGTAAGCATAAACCGGCGGCTGATTCAATCTTTAATTATTCAGGTTTCACCTGCTCCTTTGTTCTCCCTTTCTAATAAGGGAACTTTCAACTAGTTTTTATTTGATTTTTTCAAATCAAATATCTTCAACTTATTAGTCCCCTTTGATAAAAACCGCAGTCTTCAGTTTGTCTTATTAAAAATTCATATTAATCTCTCTGATGCATCATATTGCAGGTGCACCTCTGCTTAATCAAAGCAAGGAGAATTTCAGTGCAGCCGGCAAGACTGCTAAATATTTATCCAGTTTGTGTCAAGTTAAGTTAAAAGGGACGTATTAATAATCGCCGCCCTTTTAAAATATTGAGCATGAAAAAATGAGAAAAATTGGACAAGTATTTAAAAAGGAGTGGATTTTCAAAACAAGATTTTATAGTCCTAATAAGAGTAAATCAGTCAATATCTGATTTAGTGAAAAGAGGCTTTAATTTAAATGGCACGCTCCAATTTAGAATTGGGTCGTTAAATAAACAATTAAGACAAGGGTCTTTTGTCTGTGTAGTATTTCTCAATACTACAACGTCAATTTTATCAAAAAATCTAAATCATCTAAAAAAGAAGTGATTTTCCAAATCAATCTAATTCCTAGTCTGACGCAAAAGGATATTCAGCATATTTCGAGGATAAGATCGTTTTTTCAAGATGAAAAAATGATTATTAAATTTTATTGAAGTTTCCAATACACTATCAGTAGTTATGGAAATCTTTTTTGGCAAAATGTTAAATAAGTTGTTTCAATCTTGACTATTTTGAATTGCTACAATACTTGAAGAGTTAACACCCCGTAGTCCAAGCTTAGCATTGCGTCAAGGACTCACTTTCAAACAGAGTAAAAAATAATAATTTTTGTTTTGGCTGCCAAAAAATCTATATTCGCAAAAAGCAACAAAATATTAAGTTTAAAAATTAGAAAATTCAAAATTGTCACTTCAGTTTTTTGCATTGTTGGGACCAGACACTAGTTTTGAAAAGCCAACGTCCCGTAGTTCCAACCTACATCGTAACAATTGTTTTCTGAGACTAAAATTATAGCGTTTGTTACGTGTTTCCAATAACAGAAAAAAAAGTATATTTTTAAAAACTAAAACGAAAACAAGCTTTTATCAAAAATGCACCGAAGGAATCAATTTTGATTCTAAAAAATAGTGAACGAATTTAACTCTCTAATTTAGTCACAATGTTTTATTCTTTGTTTTTCGAAGAAGGTTTTCAAAATTTATAGTCTCGAAAATATTTTTTTGCGAATTGCTTTTTAAGCTCAATTTGAAGGTTTGAGTTCATTTCTTAAAGTAACGAACGCAAACTGTTTTCTCCAGTACCGAAAATGAAAGGGAGAGGATAAAAGAGTTTGTATTGCTGTTTTGAAAACGGAATTCCAGCAGAATGAAAAGTTACTTAAGTGCTCAGTTCTTTCATATTGGCTTAGTTTCATCAAAAAAAAAAAAATGGTTGGTAAAATTGGGCTTCAGGTTCAAACACAAAAACTAATTTTTCAAAGCCATTGAATAAAGTGCAGGCACTTACAGCGTTGCTTTTGATCTTTTTGGCTCTTTTTCCTTTTCCCCCCCACCTCATTCAAACATGAATTTTTTGGTCTAACGAGTGGTTTTACAAGGTTATTTATGAAGACTAAATTTGTTTGTCATGGCCTATTCAGTCTGTATGTCAATTTTCATGACAATCGGACAAAGTAAACAGGAACTTCAATTATAAAAAATTGCAGGTGGGGGGGAAAAGGAAAAAGAGCCATCTTTTTTAGGAAAAGTTTTAAATTTTCATCACGCTCAAAATTGATTTTTCCATGTTGGGTTTAAGATTTCCCTCTAAGTTCACAAGCAGACAAACTAAACTCTTTATTTTTCTCTGAAGGGGTTAAAAAAATTATGGATTTTGAAAAACATTTGTGTGACGAAATTTTCACAGGTTCGCAGGTTGAAAACGTTTCATAAAAAATTATCTTTTCCCCGGTTTGTTAGAGGTTTCGGAAATTTTTCCAAATTTTTGACTTGTTGATTATGTTTGATTTGTGTGGAATAATTATGATTGCGGTGGTTTTTGATTCAATCTAATTTTGTTTCTTTTGTCAAAGCATTTTTGACAGAAATTTTTTACAGCAGCTGAACCAGCTAAAAGGGATTGCAATTAGCCTAATTTTCTAAATCAATTGAAGTCGTATTAGTTTTAAGATTTTCATTTCAACCACGTGCAAATATCTAACCATAGCATTCTTTCTTAATTCAATAGCAGCAGTTAGCAAAATATAGTACCAAGAGATCCCAACAGCAAATCTATAGTAATGCAATTGGGATCTTTCGGACTGTCCTTCGTATGTTCCGATGGATGAAACGTCGTCCTCGTCAGAAATACAGAAATCACAAGATCGAAGAAAGACCAAACGCCGTGTTAAAAGAAGTAGATTAACAGGCAACCGATAGCCCTGCATATCATTTTCTCCTTTCAATTGTTGGAATTTTCATGTGCTACTCAGCAATATTAAAAGAACTCGAACAAACAGAAAAATTAAATTCCTCAGCCCCCTTTTTTGATTCTTAATGAGGAACAATTTTTTGATTATTAAAAATGATTTTTGCTGTTATCAGTCAGTCTAAAACATATAAGCCAGAACGAATTTTTAGCATAGAAGTTGCGCATTTGGCTCTTTTCCAGTTCCCCCCTTTCATTTTTTTAAATTAGTTAGATGAAAGTCTATTTAAAATGACTTTTCATGTTATAAACTGCATTCAAAGGTTTCAGCCGGAACAGGTGAACAATTTTCTACATTTTTAACATGCAAATGGCTTGTAAACATTTTATGAACAGCTTTGTTTTGTAATCTTACGAGAAGGTCGGAAACTGGAAAAGAACCGCGCATTTTGCTAGACAACTTTGCGTGTTCAATTAACGAGGGGGTTGGGAAAATGGAAAATGGGCCGAACCGTTTCTTAATTACCACATGTTTATGCCAGAGGAATCACATACAGGGGCGGATTTATTCAGGTGCTCCCTCAAGGATTCGACCCACAATGACATCCATTATTTCATATCATCCATTTTGGCCGACCAACCCTAAGAACTTTCTTAAATTAAATTTTACTTTCAAACAAACGCAACTTTTTGCTCAAAATTTTCCAAAAAAAGCCCAAAATTTAACATTTTACAGACTCTGTGGGCTATTTTTCCTTCCATCAACCCAGTTCACACAAAAAGGAATTTTATGGCCTAAGTAGTGGTTAATTATGAAGACTAGATGTGATGCTTAATTAGTCTGCATGTCAATTTTCATGACAATCAGACAAGCTGAACAATAAATTTACTTGTGAAAATTTGCAAGTGGTGGGAAAAAACAGCCTCAAAAAAGCGCGATCATTACAACGAGAACCGGTTATTATAACACAGTCATATATCATTATATTTAAGTCATCCTTAAACACAATTAATTTAGGCTCACGGAAAAACTTGCAGTCAAAATAGTACCATCACGGAAAGTTTGCAAACTCCGATTTTTTCCTCGCAATTTGACAGAAAAGTGGCTTGTAGCAGTACTTGTAATTAACAGTTCACCAGTAGTTAAATATAAAACCTTGCAAGTGGGGTGAAAGGAAAAAAAGCCGTAGTGTGATTACAGAATAATAGATACACATACAATTATTTTTTAAAAATGTTATCCTGTTTTTTTTTTTACAGAAATTAGTCTTATAATTTCAAATTGTCTTTTCAAGGAAATAGTTCTGATTTACATTTTTTGTTTCAACCTTTGAAAAATAGGGAGGAATTTTAGCTCTTCTCCAGTCCCCCCTCTTTGATTTATTTCTGGAATTCAATGAAAAAAGTCTTTTTGAAATGGCTTTTCACGTTGAAAATTGCACCATAA